TAGTAGCGCTTATTTCTGATTTTTTGAAGCGATAGACCTTCCATTTCCGATTTCTTATTACTTTTTTTCGTATGGAATAACCAGAGTTTCGAGCTTTTTGATTCCGAAAATTTTTATGGAAATAAAATTACGCAGTATAAATTTAGTTTAGCTCCAGATAAGTACCGACATGCCTACTGCTGTTTTTATTCTTTCTTTATTGGCTCCCATTGCTTTGGAAATACCCCTTCTCGTCTGCCTTCGAATGGCAGATCTTCTAACACAGGTTCCAATTACACATTTTGCTAAGGGTATGGCCGAACTTATCTACGTATATGGAGGGTCCTTAAGTTTACCGCCGCCTACGAATGGCAGATGGTATCTTGTGAGAACCTTTTTTAGAGCTGAAATGCTCTCACAGTTTTGCTATTGCCAGATGGATGGCGACCGCTGTTAGAAGAAAACTTGGATGTTGGTCGAGCCAGGAATCGAACTTGCAATCTACTGAGTGTTGGTATACACCTCTAAAACTATTCGGCCACAGCAGGCGACGCGGTAAAAATTAAAGGCTTAAGTAAAAAAAAAAAAAATGAAACTAAAAAAAGTCGACGGGATGAATGGGGTTATATTTATGTACATCAATGTGCTTATGTCTGATTTTTCTGCGGAGGTTTTGCCCTGCAACGGTTTTTTAATAACTAAAACTTCATGTCCAATTTTGAAGTGTCCAAAATCAGTGCCCAGTTTTTGAATTAACAAAACGTATATACAAAATTATGTCCAGTTTTTAAATTACCACAAATGTCTGCTGTTTTTGAGTTACCAAAAAATACCTAAAAATGTATGTTTTAAATCAATAGAAATTTTCGTACATATTTTCATTTTATTAAGTTATGGGCCATTCCATTGTGTCTAGTGGGACATTTTACTCCACAATGTGATCAATTGTGAATTTTAACTATCATTTGAATAAATGTGACTGGTGGGACACTGAAAAGAACTCTATTTTACCCTTGTGCACTCAAAGATGAATTTTAGCCAAAACACTTAATTTTCACGAACGATGTATTTGTGTTGTAAAATATGAATTATACGCTTTCGTTTTCAACAAAAGTGAGATTTATAAAAATTTTCATAGAAATATTAAAAAATAAATATTTAAAGTAATTATGCATGAAATAATAAATTAAAACTTATTTTGATTTTTATAATATTTTCCCACAGCTTATGAAATGTAGTCATTCAAAAAGAGTTTACTACTAAAATAGAGATAATTAGGGCATATTTAAATGTATGTCGTTTTCCTCTTTTCAATGGAATGGCCCTTATCAAGAAATTATATCCAACTTTAACTTTCAATATCACAAATTTTCCTAATGGTTCGGTTTTAGATAAAAAAAAATTCGTGCGCCCAGTTTTCTAATTACCAGAATTAACCGAAAAAATATTGCCTAGTTGGTAAATTACCAAAAATAATATATTTTAATGTTTTTTACATTACCAAAATTGAGGCCCAATTTTTAAATTGCGCATAACTTATGTCCATTATTAAAATGATTCATAATATAAGTCCAGATTTAAATTTCAAGCGCTTTACACTATAAAGACGAAAAGGGCTCATTTGATCCATTTTCAATTCTACTGCCAATCTATCTGTTGGCAGTTATCCTTCTAAATTGGTATGTCATGACTTTTATTAAAATTGCATACAATTTAATTTGAAGGCATTTCTATTTCCTTTCCTGGATGTGTTTCAATTGTAAAATGAATTAACAGTTTTTAATTTACATTATAAGTTTTTTTGTTACTAAAATTAATTTTAAAGTAGTTGGGCCAAATGAGCCCCGTCCGTCTTTCAAGGTACGTAGCTTTTTCAGTCTCTCTAGTGTTAAAGATCTTAATTTGATGAAAAGTAAAAAAAAAAAAACAGTACGAGTTATTATTTTTCTAATTTAGGCCACTTCCGTTCTTTTTGTGAAAAAAAATTAAAATTGTAAGTTATTATTTCTGTAAGCCCTATCTGCTTACGCATATTGCCTACTATCTGCTTAAACTAGTTTTGTGGAAAAAGTTTCTCAACTTGTAATAGTAAATCAGTCAACCGCAAACGCTTATTACCACAAACTCCATAACAACAAACAGTAGTGCAAATGTCAGCAAAGCGTTCTAAACCAAACAATGTTCAAAGTGCATTACAATTCGGCGTTTAAAAATGACCTCGAAATATCTAAATTTATATTTGCTTATATTTTTAACACTCTTACAATTGCTTATTGCCAATGAAGATGGGGATCAACAGGATTTAGATGGCATTCGTAATGAACGCACCTGTCGCCGTTGCCTTGGTAGACTCCAGCCCGCAGGTTTAATAAAACAATTGAAGACCTTGAGACTCAATAGACGTTGGGAAAATGAAAAAGAGTTTCGCAAGGGTATACGTTTTAAATACTACAGGTACGTACGTTTGGGTGCGGCTCCAATTGTCTTGAAACAGGTTTAACGAAGTAAAATACAAAAATTTCAAATAAATAAATGTGTACATATGTATGTATGTAAGTGAAATAAAAATTAAGAATGAAAATTAAATTAGGAATGGTGAAAAGGTTTACGAAAGCGCAAGTGATGAAACCAGCGCCTTGGCTAAGTCTGGCTGTTCGCCGGATGAAAAATTTGCCTTCATAATGCATGGTTGGCGTCAAAGTTGCGAAACCGAATGGGTGCTCACACTCATTGAACGTGAGTAAAATTTTTGTAAGGTGTTAAACGCTGATGCAGCTTATGAAACTTATGAAAATATGGTATTTGTTGTGGTTGCTTTTGTTTTTTTTTTTTTTTATTTAATTACAGGTCTGACATACCATCGCGGCGGTTGCATAGTGTGCATAGACTATGCATTTTTTGCGCAAGACTCTTATATGTGGTTGTACAGAAGTTTTCGCAGGATATCCAACGTAATTACAAAGCGCATGCTGCTGCTTATAAACGAAGGCTTCAATCCGGACAATGGTTACATGTTCGGTTTCAGTTTTGGCGGACAGCTAGCGTCGGCTGTCGGCAGAAGTCTGAGTAAGGACTACCTTTTCCGCAGCATAGATAGTAAGTATTTAATGGTATTGGTTTTTATCAAAGCGGTTTTTAATTTTTCACTGAATTTATGTTTGTAGCTTGTGATATGGCTGGTCCCGGTTTTGATGTTTTCACCCACATCGATCACCGTGACGCCGCCCGCCATGTACAATGTTTGCATTCGAGTCGCGACAAGGGTACACGTATTTATACCTGCCATCAGAATGTCCGTTTGGGTAGCTGCGGTCACTTCCAGCCGGCTGCCTCTAGTCAACCATATTACAGCAGTCATGGCTTATGTGTTCAAATATATATTAATGCATTCGATTATCCTTTCTATGCGATGCAATACGAGCCAACTTGGTGCGCCTCGAAACGTGCTGCCACAAATATACCCTATAAATACACCATTGGCTATAATGAGACACCAAATTCGTAAGTTGTATTGTAATATTTACATATTCAAAGTTAGGTAATTCCAAGGCATATGAAACAGGGAGTAACATTAGAGCAAAATCAACATTAACGTGTAATTTGCTGTTGCTTTTGGTCTCTAAAGTGTTAAAAAATATTCTACCTTTTTATTAGGTCATGTAAATTTAAAAAAAAATAATAATAAATAAAAGTTGGTGCGACATTCTTTCTTGGTTAATTTGTTTACGTCCGAAGCATCGATTCATTCTTTACAAGGCCCAAAAATCAGCGTTTGTGTTGCAGAGTTAAGCGACAGTTCCAAAAGCTGGTTTTAGATCGCTTCTTTTTATGAAATAAATTTGGATAATTGAGAATTTTTATGAAAAAATTAATTTTAGAGACCAAATAATAAAAAAAAAAATCGAATCATCTGCTCTACTGCTACTACCTGTTGGTAAGGTGGTTTTAACCTACCGATTTTCAGAATGAAAATTGAAAGTAAAGTCGGTAAGTTCATTCTTCATCGTGAAAATGACCTTTAAACTCGAAAAACTTTAAAACTTTTGAGTGTTTTTCAAAGAAGTTTTGACAGATCAATAAAAGTTTCAAAGGTTTTTCCAGTTTAAGACATCTCCATAATTAATTATTTTGTATTTTCGGAATTGTAAAATAAAATGGATAAATGTATATAAATATCGATTTCGTAGGATTCGAAAATTGGAAATTTTTGTAAAGTGTTAAAAAAATTTTAGAAAAATTCAAAATTTTCGATTCGAATATATTCCCCAATATATCGATTACGTTTTCGATAAATATGTCGTAAATATTGATATCGACGTTTATATTTTAGCGAAAACGATAAGAGGTGATTTATTTTAAATTCGTTATTCTGTATGGATTTTTTTTAAGTTCCCCGTTTTCAACAATTAATTTACTTGTATGTATTTATTTATCTCCTTAGCAACATACGCGGGGAAATTTTCGTGCCAACTAGTCTACATTTTCCTTATAACTTTTCTGAAAAAGAAATGCTAATGTTGGGATTCTTCGATGAGAATGTGGAAATCTCAAGCGGAAATTATGACTAAACGGTTGAAACCTAATGGAAAATTTAGCTAAATAATTGGATTACAAAACAACTGAGTTGAAAATAATAATACATACTTATATGAAATAAAGAAGCCTTAGGTTAAAAGATCGTATTAATGTAATGCAATATAAATAGTAGAAAGTGAATAATAAAATACCAAAAAGAAACTAAACATTTAAATATTTTTAAGGTTTTTTGCACGTAAGTTCACACTTGAAAGAGTATTGAAATTCACAATTTATTAAGTTTTTTATTTTTATTTCAAATACGGGTAATTAAAAAATAATAATTTCATACAAAAATGTAATAACATTTTTTATTTTTATGAAAGCCAACTTCAAAAATCGGAAAAACAGAGCATCAGTCTCTTATTTTCTAAACTATAAATGCCGAAATTGGACTTTTCTAGCAATTAACGTTTGGAAGTAACATACACTGATGCTTTGGTTTGCTGCATTTCCGAATAGTGGGCCAACTTTCGACCAGATTTCTTGCTGATAGCTCTTCAGTTCACTGAAACTTTAGTTTTAGGCTATATTTCGATTTTAATAATCGTACGCACAGATTGTATTTTTATTGGAGAGTAATTTAACTCAAGTTTTTAGCTTTAAAATGCCGAAAAGTTAATGAAAATATTCCTAGTAGAACGGCAACTATAAATATTTAAAATCGATAAACTGCAAATAAGCGTTCGGAAATGCATCATCAAAAAAGTCATTTTCGATTGCAGTAAGAACGTTCGGAAATGCATCATCAAAAAAAAAAAATTGAGCAACGAATGACGAAAAATATTAATCAAGTGCACCCTGTGGCTGCGCTGGAGTAGCACAGACCGCAACCATTTCTCTAAAAGACACATGTTTATGATTCCAAGCCAACATGATGTCAACGTCATTTTGTTAACATGTTGACGACTTAGAGCTAGCAACATGTGCCCAGCGCTGTGGTTGTAGTCTCTGCTATCGTAAGAAAATCCGTACATACGCAATGCGAAAATATTGAATTCGCTGCACCAAAAACTTGCTTTAAATATTTATAATTGTGGTTCTAAGGGAAATATTTTCATGAAATCTTCTTCATTTGAAAGCTTCTCGCTTGTAGAATCATATCGAATTGAATGGAGAAAAAAATTTAAAATATTTTTATGTTTTGAGCTTAGTTAGCAACTCGTAATATTTTCTTATACATACATACTAGTGCAATTATTTGCGACATACATTGGTACTCATTTGAAATCATTTTACTGGCTGTGCAAGATTGTAAAATTATAAATTTCTCGATTTGCAATAAACAGGTAAATCGTATAGAGGTTTCATAAAAATACATATTTAAATTTTCTACACGATTAATAAAAATCATCATCAAATTCAGCAGGATTCGATTTTTGATTCTTGACTTGATCTTGATTGCGGTACATGTAGGCAACTTGTTGTGCAGATGTTGCATCCTCCGCTGATTTATCCTCACGCATGCGTATGAAACGTGGAAACCGCAGTGATATGCCCTTTTCTGGATCAATAATACCAATTCCAGCCTTGTGTACGGGACTCAATGAAAGATCTGCACATTTTACCTCCCAAACCTGCACAGCCTCGAACCAAGTATCAGGCGCTAGGGTGGGATCAAAACGATAATAAGATTTTGGTGCCGGTATCGTGTGCTCCTTAAAGAATTTGGCATGTGCATTTAAATCATCATCATTCAGTCCTTAAAGATGAAAGATTTATGTTGTTTTATGTTACTACCACATACCGCATTAAAAGACATAGCCCAATTTACACTTACCTGTGCCTATTTTGCAAATACTTTGATACTCCTCATTTTCATCATCGTAACAGGCGAGCAAGAAGCCGCCATACACACCAGTTCGTTTGCCCTTGCCAATGTAACCGCCGATAACAACGAGGTCTAGCGAGTCTCCAACGCCAGTCAAATAATCCTTTTTCAATTTCAACCATTTGTGTGAACGTTTAGCAATTTCGTAAGATGCGTCATTATCTAGCGACTTGATCATCAGGCCTTCACAATTTCCTAAAATCGAAGCATTTACATATATATCGAAATTAAATTAAAATTAAAAAATCTACATTATAATATCAATTACATTTTTCAACCAACCTTTAATGGAGTTCTCCAAAAAGCCTTGTATATCGTCCGGATCATTTGTGTCGCATGAAGTTGGAAATTGAAATTCTCCTTCAACTTCGTTAAAGTTTTCTCTTAGCAATTGCCTTCGTTCAGCGAAGTTTTTTGAAGTCAACGCCTCGCCATTCAAATACAGTAAATCGAAAGCATAAACGCAGACTTGCACCTTGATCTCTTCTAAATCGACATTTTTTCGCTTCCGTGTGCTTAGTACTTGGAAAGGCAGAATTTGTTTGTGTTCAATATCCCATGCAACAATTTCACTATCAACTATATATGATTCAACACTGTCCTTTTTGAATTCATCTATGCGCTGTATTACGTCGGGATATTTGGTTGTATTATTTTCCTGATTACGAGAGTATATATTAACGTTGCCATCTTTGTCACGATGAATTTGCGCCCGTTCTCCATCATACTTCCATTCGCATGTAATGTTGCCTTTTAAGCGATCCATCACCTCGGATACACCCCTTGTTGGGTGCGCTAACATTGGCTTCAATGGGACACCTGGCTCCATTGAACAATACTTGAGCAAATCATCGATACCATGAGTGAGTAGTGTCGATACGATTTTGTCGAAATTTGGACATTGGCTGTAACAATTATTAATTTTTTTTATTTGTTGTTCTACTATAAATATTCATTTTGGTCTTACCAATAAGCCGTTTTTAGCAGAAAAGTAATATCATCGATATCCTTCTTTATATCAGCTTCAGATTGTTTCGCCTTCTTTGGACATTTCTCATCGTACGCTCGACTGTTGACTAAAGCTGTTGCCAAAGCTTGAAACAAACTTTTCTCTGCAATTCCTATACGCATCTTGCCAATCAGTGATCTTATAATAAATCGCGCTTCTGAATATCGTGATGCCACAAAGAGATCATGTATAATTGGTGATTTGGCTTTGCCGGAACTTTTCGCAATTGTTCTCAATTTCTGATAGACAGTTTGTACTGTTAGAGGTTTTGGCGTGAACATCATTCGCTGTGAAACTCTGGAGCGCTCGGCAACAATACCAAGATCGCCAATTTCCTGCGTTTGAGCTTTAATAAACTTTAGTTCACGCCCAGTAGATACGGCTATAACCTTCATCAATGTAGTCTCTGCCACTCCAAGCTCAACACCTGCAAATGTGAGGAAAGAATTTTTCTCTTTTTATATGCTTCTAAATACTCGCACCTTTTTACTTATTGAAATTTGCAGTTTCAATTAAAATAAACATACCTTCATAAGCCGGTGCCAGTTGGTTGATACTTAAATAAATACAGTACAGTAAATCATCTGTGTTCAATAATAACACTGAACATAAGAAATTTGCAAGTATCTCTACCATCTTATAACGTCCTTTAGTGTCTTCAATTAGTTCAAAAGTTCTGGCCAAAGCCAAATAAGGTGTGCTGTTTTGGAAAGTATAGTAAATAATACAAATAATAAATTTAAATGCCAATTTTCTCACTTTTTGTTTCCATTCCAATACGCGTCCTTTATAGGATGATATCTCGTTGCTCCTGGATTATATTCGGCACCACATTGGTTTGACTCAACCGAAAGTTTCTTTACACTCAAAGCTTCATTTTTGTTAGGGCTTTCTGCACTACCTTTAGCTGCTGTTGTAGGTTTTTCGTCTACCAATTTGGCAGCCTCTCTAGTCACATCCTTTTTGATCTCAGCGGTTTCCTTTTTCAATGGAATTTGCTCAAGTTTATTTTTGGGAGATTCTTTAGAAGCCTTTGGTGATTTTTTCTTCGTTTCACTACTTTTACCATTAATCTGTAGACTTTTCTTAGTTTCCGTTTTGGGAGACACCGCAGATTGTTTTAGAACCTTTTGCTCCGGCTCGCCATTCTTTTCACTCGATTGTGGACTTTCCTGTCTTGAATAGGATATCAATTATTGCTCAAAAAAGTTTAGCGCGTTTTTGTATAAACTACCTGCAGCGCTTTGCGCTCGACGCCTCTTCAATTTTTGCACTCGCAGCTGGCTTAAAGAATGACCTAAAAACAAATTTATTTTGGATATTAACACGTACGAAAGGATTCCTTAATGTTTTGGAAACTAACGTTATAGATTTTTGTGCCATATTTACGCTTTTTTCTAGTTTTGTTTTTTTTTGCTTGTAGTGAAACTAGTTGCAAATATGCAAGCGCCAAAAGTCAATACAGGGTGTGCTGTATTAATAATTAAATGCAGATGTGCCAGATTAATAGGGTTGATTTTTTGTAATATATTTTGCCATTGACAAAGTGCAGAAATATCTGAAAGTTAAATATTATAGGAAAATGTTTGTAAACTATTAACGCTGCATTTCTTTATTCATTCTAAACGTTTGGAATAAATTTTATTGTTTACTTATTCTTTAGAACATTCCTGATGATATGTTCACCTATATTTCAAACGCATTCTGTTTATTCCGGCTGTGAAATAGGATAATCCGGAATGTATAAAGAAACGCAGCCTAAATAAAACTAAGACAGCTTACAAATTCTTTAACGGGCTTAGTTTCTTATTTTGGTGTTGGAATTGCCCTGTATTTTTTAAATTTATCCATATCAGGGTTTTATATTGGATACGGCAACACTATAAAACAGCATGGTCGGATAAAAACGCAATGTTTACGTGATTGCAACAATATTTTGACTAGATTCCTTAATTAGTTACTTGCCAGGTAATAAATAATAATTTACATATAATGCGCCCAAAAAACAAACCTAAAGCAAAGGTGCGAAATGCGAATTTGAGCAAGGCACATAAGAATCTTAAATTCAAACGGAAAGCAAAGGAGATGATGGAGCAGCACCGGAAACAAGCACTTTTAGAAAAGTCCTACCGAGAAAAGGAGGAAACTAAACTTGACGATACCGAGGGTAAAATTTTGGAATTTATAAGAGAAGAGTATAAGGACGACAATGAGGAAGAAAATATTTTTGGTGAGCTTATGGATACACTATCTACGAATGGTAAGGATATAAAAAACAGTAAAACTAAATATGGTTAAATTGTATCCAATTTAAATAGATAATAGATATGTACGGGCCTATGATTTGAGTGATGAGGTTTCAGATGAGAAATCGTTAGTCACCGATGAAAAGCATAAAATCAAAGAGGATATAGTAGAAGAAAGTACAGAAGTTGAAGAATTAGAACCGGTGAAGTCGGACGATACATTTGCGCTGCATTTTGATTTCGACTTGCCGCTCGAAAAGGTTGATAATTTATGGTCTCAACAGGCCCTTATTAAGAAACCAATTTTTACATGGCCTCAGTTAGGCATATTGAGGACACAAATACCGCAGCTTGAATGTCAAGATGAAGCAACAAATTCACTCGATTGGAACAGCAGTATCAAACGACTGAATGCTGATAGTTTGCGAAGAATGGGTGTCAGAGCAACGATACTAGATAATATATCAAAGGAAATCACACCCCTTCAACTAGAAGTTTTTCAAATTCTTAATAATTACCGAGATTTCTGTTACCCCAGCGTATCCAAAGACAAAGTAAATGAATTACGATTTTGTTACACCGCACACGTACTGAATCACATGCTAAAAACGCGCAACCGCATTTTGAAACATAATATGAAATTAACGTCTACACCAAATATGATCACAATACCGGATAGCTATCGAGATCAAGGATTAGCGCGACCCAAAGTGCTCATTATATTACCTTTCCGAAAGTGCGCATATCAAACGGTGACAAATATGGGGCGGCTATTGTATGGTAAAAATATGGGTAGGTAAATGTATAAATTTAAGTTTTTGCTTTAAATTTATGAACAAATGTATTAAATTTCACAACTAAAAATGTAATAATGATTTTTTTTTATAGATGGAAAAATAATGAATTACGCCCGTTTTACCGAGGAATATACCGGCGACAGCTTAAGTTTTCCTAAAACCAAACCCAAATCGGATGATTATGTCGAAACTTTTAAGGGCAATATTGATGATAATTTTAAGATTGGCATTTCTATAACTAAGAAAAGCTTGAAACTTTATACGGATTTTAATGCGTCAGATATAATTGTGGCTTCGCCGTTGGGTTTACGGTTGGGAATGGCTTCAAACAACAATGAAGCGGGTGCCTTTGATTTTCTGAACTCCATCGAAATCCTAATATTGGATAAAACCGAGATGTTCCTAGCGCAGAATTGGGAAAACCTACTACATGTAATAGATCACTTGCATTTGCAGCCACAATCTTTAAGTAGCGTAAATTTGCAACGCGTTCGTCCATGGTGTTTGAATGGTTTGTGCCGCTTTTACCGACAAACTATTGTACTTTCATCACATGAGCTACCCGAGATACGTTCACTATTCTCCAATAAGTGCTTCAATTACAGTGGCAAAGTTTCTGTATCGAATCCAATTCTTCAGGGCGACATTAACAACGTGTTCGTCACAACACCACAAATATTTCACTTAATGGACACCACAAGTTTAGATTCTGTCTTCGATGCACGTTTCCGATATTTTGTCAAAGAAATTCTGCCACGCTATCGAAAGCCGTCGTTCGCCCATTGTATGATATATGTGCCCAGTTACTTTGACTACGTACGCTTGCGTAACTATTTGAAAGCAGAATCAATCAATTTTGCACAAATTTGCGAATATACCAAGAGAGAAAAAGTGGCGCGGGCACGTGATATGTTCTACCACAGTGGTGTGCACTTTTTGCTTTATTCAGAGCGATATCACTTCTATCAGCGTACAAGAATAAAGGGCATTCGGCATTTGATTATGTATCAGCCACCAATGTGGCCGCAATTGTATTCCGAAATGGTTAATATGATGAATGATAGTAATCAGAATGCGGCCGATGGATTAGACGATTCGATGAGCATAACTGTGCTATATACGAAATATGACATAATACAGCTAAATGCGATTCTTGGAACTGAATCGGCCGCAGAGATGCAAAATTCAAATAAAACTATACATTGTTTCACTATTAAGTAGTAACTGATTTTGATTAAATACATCTGTATGTTTTAGTTAGATTTTGTAAATATAAAAAATTAAAAAAAGTGAACTAGACCATTATTTTTTTTTTTGCATTCCCGTAATACGTGTATTTTCAATAGCAGAATTTCAATGATTTAAATATTTTCTACTGTCAAGTATGTAATTTCAATGTAATCTTTGACAATACCGCCAGCACTCTCAGCATTATTTTGACCCTTGAATACGTTATGTTTTACCATCACCACGCTTATGCTCGATAGTTCATGAAGGAAGAGCTGAAATTAAAATTTTTGATTCATTTTATTTACTGCACATTCGTCATTTCTGACTCACCCGCCGAACATAGGTTTAGGGGCATTTGGTGGAGGATTTGTAGTTTGTGCCAAGTTACCAAAAGATAAGCCTGTGTCTGTGGAGCCCAAAGCTTCAAATATATTGCTACTCTGTGCTGTTGGCGCACCAAATGAGCTAGAAGGTGGTGTGGCAAATGTTCCGAATCCTTTGGGGCTGCCAAAAGTAGGCGCACCCCCAAAGCTAGGCTGAGCGCCGAACGCAGGCGGGCTGCCAAAGGAGGGCGCGACACCGAATACATTACGCGGAAAGGCACCTCCTTGCGGCTGCTGTGTGGGTGAACCAAAACCAGTGCTTGACACTGATGACCCGCCCTGTGAGAATGAACTAAACGGTGATGTGGCTACTGCACCAAAACCACTTGTTGGTGAGCCAAAAATGTTTGATTGTTGCGAGTCGGGTGCTACAGCTGCAGCACCACCGAAAATAGACCCTCCCGTTGAGGCGGTACTTTTAGCAGCACTACCGAAAGCCGAGCCAACAAAACTAAATCCTGAAGCGGTGGATGTAGATTCCGGTTTGCTGGCTGCCGCAGCAAAGATGCTACCGCTCGATTGACCCAAAGAGTTTTGCCCAAATATCGAGCCACTGCTTGCGGCCGTGCCAACTGATGTTGGTGAACCAAAAACGTTGACATTCTCCGGACTCTTTGCAGCGCCACTACCAAATATAGATCCACCAGTATTTTCTGCACTCTTAGCAGCTGCATTGCCAAATATCGATCCCGCACTAGCTTCAGCTGGCTTGGCAGGGCTGTTACCGAAAATCGATGCGGATGTGTTATCACCACTATTAACGGCGCTGTTACCAAATATTGAACCCGAGGAAGTATTTGCATTAGAGGGGTTGGTAGGCATGGTAGCAGCAGCTGTAGCGCCAAATATGCCAGCCGTGGTAGCACCAAAACCGCTACCAGCGTTACCAAAAATACTACCACCACTTGCTGGCGCTTGACCACCCAAAGGCAAACCTCCGAACGCCGATGCATTGCCTGCTGGTTGAGTGACATTTTCAATTTTAGATGCAGCGCTTACGGAACTTGCAGCAGGCGTTGGTTGTCCTAAAGAGCCAAATAAAGAATCGCCCGTTGCTTTTGTAGCGGCAATCGCAGAAAAGAATGCACCCGTAGCTGCGCCTGTTGCTGCTGAAGAAACAGGTGTGGGTGTGGCAATTGTGGTTGCTGCGGCTGATGAAGTAGTGGCAGGTATCGGTGATGAAGTGGTAGCAACTGATGGGACAGTTGCTGCAGCTGTTGTGGTCGTAAAAGCAGTAACTATTGTTGTTGTGGCAGGAACTGTTGGCGCATTTGTTATTGCAGGTGTAGTGCTTAAGCCGGCAGAAGAAGTCGGGGTGCTTGTAGTTGTTGGTTTTTCAAATGTGTGCAATTGCTTGAACACGGTTGAGTTGCTAAAGGAGAACGCGGAAGCGCCTGTACCGCTAATAGAGCTCGTCACTGGCGCAGATACATTAGGTGCTGTGCCGAAGCTAATGCCAGTAACACCACCAACACCAAAAGTAGACACATTTGAGCTGTTGGCGTTGAATGGTGGGAATAATGACGTTTCTGTTGTTGCTACGCTTTTGCCAAATATTGATGGCGTAGACGTTACAGTTGTTGATGATGTTGTATCAGTAACTTTAGGCACTGACAACGACGTTGTGGAGTCGGGCATAGGTTGAAAAGCGCCTTGGGGATTATTCTCACTATTTGAGCTAAAGGAAAACACAGTGCCCTCTTTTGGCTTCACCGCTTCTGTGTGTATGGGAAAAAGAAAAATAAACACTTTAAATATATATTTGAGATACACTTACCCTTTGCAGTGGGCTTGCAGATATTTAAAGGTTTCAAAATCATTTCCTCATTATCGCTCGCTGTAGCAACCTGTCCCGATTTAGTTACATCCTTTGCTGGAACAGCAGCTTCAGCTGTACTTTTCGTTGGCATAGCTTCAGTTTTTCCTAAACTGGGAGTACTAAGATCGAAACAGTTTTTAAGATCAATCTTTGAGGTAAAAAAATAGTTTGCATCACATGCACTATTGTCATTAAATTTGTACATACCTTGTTGCACCTGAAAACGGATGTACTGAACTAGCAAAGGATTGATTCTCATTCTGTTTATTGAAAAGCGTAGATTGCACAGTTGTTGTGCCAAATATATTTGCGGTTGCAGCGGGTAAACTCGTAGCGGGTGGCACATTCGATTGTGTTTGCGTTGCTCCAATTTTTAAATCGGTTAGAGCACTAAAAGTGTTGCCAAAACTAAACGATTTCGATGTGCTGTTCATTTGGTTGGCGGTATTTGAATCAACCGTTTTACTTGGATTGATAAATGTTGTATTTGCATTGGTATTCGCGGTCGACTCTTGTCCGAACCCGGTAAATCCTTTTGATTTAATGTTAAATGTGCTCATCGGCGGTTTGTTGGCATCAGCTGCATCGCTTTTTGATATGAACGAAAAGTTAGGTCCTGCAGGAGAGGATTTTTCACTCATGCTAGATTCGTTAGTTTTGCTCTCAACAGCATCGGATTTGAAAGTGTTGACATTCCCGATGAATTTCGATAGTTCAGGCATCTTTTCACCCTTGGCTGACTCAGTTTTTGAAAACATATTGCTGCTGGTAAAATTAAGCGTCGAAAATGGCGCATTGTTTTTTTGCACAGACTGCGTTGAATTAGCATCTTTTGCTTGTGTAAATGTTGCTGCAGAAGTCTGTGAATTGCCAAAAAGTCCGATTGTTGAAGGTGTTTTCGTAAGCTGGAACTGTGGCTCATGTGGTTGCTTGGGTTGTGTCGATTTAAATGTAGTTACAGCCTTCTCTTTTTCCTGGGCCTCATTCGCTTTTTCAATTGCTTTAATAACTTTGGCTTCCTTCTCTTTGGACTCTTTTCTCTTAATTAGCTGTTTCGTTTCCAAAATAACCTCAGATGTTAGTTGAACACGATTTGGGCGTTGAGGTTTGATTATTGTTGTCTTTACTTGTTGATTTGTAAAATTACGTAGAGCGTTTAATTTGCTCTCGGATAATTTATTAGTCTTTACATCTGTGATATTGTGCATACTCATCGAAAGTATAGAATCTGCTAAGGACGCGATACCGCTAAATGGATTGGCGAGGCGGTAGACAAATAAAAATTGTTTTTACGAGAAGTATAAAATAATTTTACTTAAAAAAATTGTCATGTATTATTGTTTTTTTTTTTGTTTTTTGATTTAGAGAACTCCGGATTTTTTTTTTTAATGCAAAGGGTGATCGATGAAACTAGTAGCGACTACTAGGATTGAAAGCAGAGATTGTAATGGTTGTATTTTTTATAATAAACTACCGACTACAAGACTTTTAAGTAATTAAAACAAAGAAATTGTAGGTCTAACTCAGTAATAATTAAAATTTTAGATAATGCATACAAATGTTTGGGAAAAAAGGTAATTCAAAGCTTGGCTTGCTTTCGAAAATTAGATATTTTAAATTTTTTGTGTGTTTTAAAATAATATTTTTAACTACGTTAATCAGACATACGAAAAAGCATAAATTCAACTTACGCATCTGATTTCATCTCCAGCGTATTCAATGTACTTTTGCTCACCCTGCCACTGCCCAAGTTTTTTTGCTTGATAGTCGATTTTATATAATGCAATTTCGTCTGCTGCTGTGTTATTAAGTTTTTCAATTTAGTCATTTGTTGATAGATGCCATCTAGGCATGGTATGCGCATTTGAGACTTGGAATTACGTCGCACCAAGTCCTGATAATAAGTCCACTGTATGTCCATTTGTTCTTCAAGGCGTTTCATTATACCTTGATTAATGGCAAGATAGCCTTGTAGACTCTTCAATTGACGTTGACTTACGCAGTCATATAATGATAAATATTTAAAACCAGCTTCACTGCAGATATGTATATTACAGACGTATTTGCATACAAATAAATAAATGAATTCTAAGTTTGGTTAAAACTATACTGGGAAACTTACTCTGGATTTTTATGCATTTCCAATTTAGTACGACACTCGTTTAGCATTTCATATGATTCCGTTAGTGAATGTCGAAGATCTTGAACATCCATCACAAAGTCACGTTCATTTGCTTGTTCAATGATTTCTTGTAGATTTATTAGACGTTTACTATAACTCCTCATAACACTTGGATCTTCATTCTTACGAAAATAGAAGAAATGAAAATAGATAAGTAAAAACTCGGCTTTGAAATAATAAAAGAAATCTACTCACTAGTGCGAGTTTTGACTTTTGACCAAGTTGCGTTATTTCTTTTTCAAACGCCATCATTTGCATTACTATCATTTGTTGTATTACACTATTCGTTTCGTTTAAATTCAACATTTGTGCTTTTGATTTTCCAGCTGTGTCAATTTGAACTGAATTCTGTTGAGACTGCTGCTGTGCTTGAATTGGTGGTGGCGCAAACTCTGGCGAGACAGTATATAGAGGCTTGAAAATTTCTGCTGGTTGTGTAGTTTTTATTTGCGCATTGTTAGCAATGGGTGCAGTTTGCACCAATGGTTTGTCTATTTTAATATAAATATTACATCATTTCAAATACATACTTATATACATTGCTGATTATATTACTTACTTAACAAATTAGATTGCGATTCATTATTAGTAGTGGCCACTCCGAATTTAACACCTTGAGACTTTTGGTCCCAACCACCCGAAAATAAATTCTGGTTTCCTGGCGCGCCAAAAGCAAATGTATTTTGATTGCTGAAATTGCTTTGCGTTGAAACGCTAAACGCTTGTGTTGGAGTAGGTGGTGGTGGATCAATTGATGGTAATTCTAAATCTTGACGTTCATTCTATAATTTGAATTGAAAAATAATTTGCATTTACCACTCTCGAAACTTAAACTTACTTCTACTTTCTTAGAAACATTAACCCTCGTTAAACTTTCATCTAAAGTACTAAATTTTTCCATTGCATAATTAATTGGTGCCGGTGGCGAACAAATATTAGTAGCGTTAGCTGTCAAATTCAAAAAGTTAAAACACAACAGATGACCGTGTGTTGTAAGCACGTGGATAACGGGCATGGTTTGTAATTTTTGCTCTCCCACTGTTAACTGATGATTCGGGGATGTATCCAATGTTAACCCAATGGGATATGTCTCATCGCTGGCCTCAGTAAGTGGCATTTCAATGCGTGCTTCATCTAGTAGCATATAATGCACCCATTGTGGCTGCTCTGTGTTTTCTTTGGTGCCCAAGAGCCCTATTTCAACTCCATTTGCGGAAGTTACCAATAACAAATTCCACTGCGCAATATGCAAGAAATTAACTTGTTGTCTCCTTGGTTCAGACCCACTATAGCATACATCATTGTAATTTATATAGACAGGCGTTCCACCTTTCGGCGCATTAACAATGTACATATTCGGCATTGCTTCCTGCCCTTGTTGTAAGAAACTTACAACAAACTGAAAGGTGGATAACCAGTGCAATGCAATGGTATCGAAAGGACCAGGATGTACACCTGGTGGGCACACTATACTTTTTACTGGTGTGAGGTCAGGTTTGAACTGTTGCAACTTTCCATTGGGATGACCGAGAACGATTTGCTTTCCCTTCGGCGACCAGCAACCGCATTGTATTTGTTGATTTGTAATTGATCGCATCTCAATTGCGCCACCATCTTTAAGTGTGTAAAGAGCGAAATTACCATTACTAAGGACTACGCCAACCACTGACGGCAGCACTGGGTTCCATAGCAAATGCAAAGCGTATACATTCTGATCGGGTAAACGTATGCTGTACAAAGTTTTAATATCCTGAAATGTATGAGCGTAAATTTATGAAGATCGTATCATTGAATATGAATAATTTGGCCTTACAGAAGCAGAAAATGACGGAACATGAAATATATCCAAAACCGCATAACCTTGTAGAGTATAATTTACTGCCAACATCGATCCATCTGCACTGCATGCCAGCGTATTGGGTGCATTAGGTAATTTAGTAGTTCGCAGGTGTACAGGAAGACCCTTTGATTTAGCATATATGACGTCGGGTAGAATGAACGCTAAGAAACGAAAAAATATATCAATTATCACAAAGATTGCCCTCAACTAAGTTCTTACCATGCAGTTCCGGAGCATTTGGGTTTCCAACAAACAGCAGTCCATGATTGCTAGCGCAGGCCAATAAGTTAACGTGGTCTCGTAACTTGGAATTTTCGGCAAAAACTTTATGCTTGCATTGTAGTTTAAATTGAATATCCTGATTATTGGAGCAGATAAAAATTTTATCAACAACATATCAATAGGTACAGACATTTCGGACGAGCTTACGGTCACATCTACAGAAGCAGGACATTGTTGCGCCATTTTAAAAGTTGAGTCCTTCAACCACAGCAATAAAAATAAATAAAAAACGTTAATATAACTTTAAAAACTACTCCAAATATTTTGCAGAAATTGAACGAATTTGTCTACTCAACACACATTTCCCGCAAATCGCAAATTCACAGTTTATGAGAGCTGCCACCTATTAAAAATTGGAATTTTAAATTGCGGATATATTGAGACAGCTGATAGGTATTTGATTGACAAGCAAGAATGGCTCCTTTGATAATTAGCATAAACCAAAAAAAAAAGATCACGTAAGAGCGATGTTTCCACGCTTCGTAATTCGCTCTCTTATTCGTAATTCGCTCTCCCATTCGTCATTCGTCTTGCCAATTACCTTCCGAATTACGTAATTCGCCATACCTAATTTTGAAAGCGAATTACTTCATTTATAGGTAATTAAGATCGAATTACCATGCGAACGACGAACGAATCGGTGCCTTCTCTAATATTTATCGGAAAGTTTTCACCGGCCTGGTCCCATTTGCTGGCACTTTTTCTAGTTGTAGAATAATATTAATAAAATATTCTCTATATATATTAAAATTGTTTATGATAACTTAAATTTTAGCTCCATATTCGATATTTGCAGTACACAAAAATAATAATAAATAGCGAAGAACAAGAACAAGAACTACAGCCGCAAATGAATTACTGATGTGCGTGGAAACAGGGTAATTCACGAATTACTTAGCGAATTACTTACTGGCCGTCTCCACAGGAAAAAATTTATTGCTGCCCAGCTGTCATTTTGGTCGCTAGATATAAGTTATATCAGTGGCAATATTTGTGTGGGCTTTTTTATATCTTGATATAAGCATTTGTATGATAGCTTCGAAAACGTATTTTTGCCGGATTTAAACGCTTAAAAATTAGGAAAAAATGGCTATTTTACAGTCAAATGCATAATTACAAATATTTTAACAGGAAACAGCTCAATTTTTACTTTTATATTAAAATAATAATGATGTTGCAGCCACGAAGTTTTCGTGCAAATGAAAATGTAGCTGTCAAACTACCAAATTGCCGGCAATAGATGGCAAGATATAAGCTCTGATATATATTGCTCTCGAAGAGCAATGAACGGTTTCCATTGGCAAATTATATTCTGACATATGTATCAAGATATAAACTTTATCCTGTGGAGACGGGCAGTNATCTGATTTCATCTCCAGCGTATTCAATGTACTTTTGCTCACCCTGCCACTGCCCAAGTTTTTTTGCTTGATAGTCGATTTTATATAATGCAATTTCGTCTGCTGCTGTGTTATTAAGTTTTTCAATTTAGTCATTTGTTGATAGATGCCATCTAGGCATGGTATGCGCATTTGAGACTTGGAATTACGTCGCACCAAGTCCTGATAATAAGTCCACTGTATGTCCATTTGTTCTTCAAGGCGTTTCATTATACCTTGATTAATGGCAAGATAGCCTTGTAGACTCTTCAATTGACGTTGACTTACGCAGTCATATAATGATAAATATTTAAAACCAGCTTCACTGCAGATATGTATATTACAGACGTATTTGCATACAAATAAATAAATGAATTCTAAGTTTGGTTAAAACTATACTGGGAAACTTACTCTGGATTTTTATGCATTTCCAATTTAGTACGACACTCGTTTAGCATTTCATATGATTCCGTTAGTGAATGTCGAAGATCTTGAACATCCATCACAAAGTCACGTTCATTTGCTTGTTCAATGATTTCTTGTAGATTTATTAGACGTTTACTATAACTCCTCATAACACTTGGATCTTCATTCTTACGAAAATAGAAGAAATGAAAATAGATAAGTAAAAACTCGGCTTTGAAATAATAAAAGAAATCTACTCACTAGTGCGAGTTTTGACTTTTGACCAAGTTGCGTTATTTCTTTTTCAAACGCCATCATTTGCATTACTATCATTTGTTGTATTACACTATTCGTTTCGTTTAAATTCAACATTTGTGCTTTTGATTTTCCAGCTGTGTCAATTTGAACTGAATTCTGTTGAGACTGCTGCTGTGCTTGAATTGGTGGTGGCGCAAACTCTGGCGAGACAGTATATAGAGGCTTGAAAATTTCTGCTGGTTGTGTAGTTTTTATTTGCGCATTGTTAGCAATGGGTGCAGTTTGCACCAATGGTTTGTCTATTTTAATATAAATATTACATCATTTCAAATACATACTTATATACATTGCTGATTATATTACTTACTTAACAAATTAGATTGCGATTCATTATTAGTAGTGGCCACTCCGAATTTAACACCTTGAGACTTTTGGTCCCAACCACCCGAAAATAAATTCTGGTTTCCTGGCGCGCCAAAAGCAAATGTATTTTGATTGCTGAAATTGCTTTGCGTTGAAACGCTAAACGCTTGTGTTGGAGTAGGTGGTGGTGGATCAATTGATGGTAATTCTAAATCTTGACGTTCATTCTATAATTTGAATTGAAAAATAATTTGCATTTACCACTCTCGAAACTTAAACTTACTTCTACTTTCTTAGAAACATTAACCCTCGTTAAACTTTCATCTAAAGTACTAAATTTTTCCATTGCATAATTAATTGGTGCCGGTGGCGAACAAATATTAGTAGCGTTAGCTGTCAAATTCAAAAAGTTAAAACACAACAGATGACCGTGTGTTGTAAGCACGTGGATAACGGGCATGGTTTGTAATTTTTGCTCTCCCACTGTTAACTGATGATTCGGGGATGTATCCAATGTTAACCCAATGGGATATGTCTCATCGCTGGCCTCAGTAAGTGGCATTTCAATGCGTGCTTCATCTAGTAGCATATAATGCACCCATTGTGGCTGCTCTGTGTTTTCTTTGGTGCCCAAGAGCCCTATTTCAACTCCATTTGCGGAAGTTACCAATAACAAATTCCACTGCGCAATATGCAAGAAATTAACTTGTTGTCTCCTTGGTTCAGACCCACTATAGCATACATCATTGTAATTTATATAGACAGGCGTTCCACCTTTCGGCGCATTAACAATGTACATATTCGGCATTGCTTCCTGCCCTTGTTGTAAGAAACTTACAACAAACTGAAAGGTGGATAACCAGTGCAATGCAATGGTATCGAAAGGACCAGGATGTACACCTGGTGGGCACACTATACTTTTTACTGGTGTGAGGTCAGGTTTGAACTGTTGCAACTTTCCATTGGGATGACCGAGAACGATTTGCTTTCCCTTCGGCGACCAGCAACCGCATTGTATTTGTTGATTTGTAATTGATCGCATCTCAATTGCGCCACCATCTTTAAGTGTGTAAAGAGCGAAATTACCATTACTAAGGACTACGCCAACCACTGACGGCAGCACTGGGTTCCATAGCAAATGCAAAGCGTATACATTCTGATCGGGTAAACGTATGCTGTACAAAGTTTTAATATCCTGAAATGTATGAGCGTAAATTTATGAAGATCGTATCATTGAATATGAATAATTTGGCCTTACAGAAGCAGAAAATGACGGAACATGAAATATATCCAAAACCGCATAACCTTGTAGAGTATAATTTACTGCCAACATCGATCCATCTGCACTGCATGCCAGCGTATTGGGTGCATTAGGTAATTTAGTAGTTCGCAGGTGTACAGGAAGACCCTTTGATTTAGCATATATGACGTCGGGTAGAATGAACGCTAAGAAACGAAAAAATATATCAATTATCACAAAGATTGCCCTCAACTAAGTTCTTACCATGCAGTTCCGGAGCATTTGGGTTTCCAACAAACAGCAGTCCATGATTGCTAGCGCAGGCCAATAAGTTAACGTGGTCTCGTAACTTGGAATTTTCGGCAAAAACTTTATGCTTGCATTGTAGTTTAAATTGAATATCCTGATTATTGGAGCAGATAAAAATTTTATCAACAACATATCAATAGGTACAGACATTTCGGACGAGCTTACGGTCACATCTACAGAAGCAGGACATTGTTGCGCCATTTTAAAAGTTGAGTCCTTCAACCACAGCAATAAAAATAAATAAAAAACGTTAATATAACTTTAAAAACTACTCCAAATATTTTGCAGAAATTGAACGAATTTGTCTACTCAACACACATTTCCCGCAAATCGCAAATTCACAGTTTATGAGAGCTGCCACCTATTAAAAATTGGAATTTTAAATTGCGGATATATTGAGACAGCTGATAGGTATTTGATTGACAAGCAAGAATGGCTCCTTTGATAATTAGCATAAACCAAAAAAAAAAGATCACGTAAGAGCGATGTTTCCACGCTTCGTAATTCGCTCTCTTATTCGTAATTCGCTCTCCCATTCGTCATTCGTCTTGCCAATTACCTTCCGAATTACGTAATTCGCCATACCTAATTTTGAAAGCGAATTACTTCATTTATAGGTAATTAAGATCGAATTACCATGCGAACGACGAACGAATCGGTGCCTTCTCTAATATTTATCGGAAAGTTTTCACCGGCCTGGTCCCATTTGCTGGCACTTTTTCTAGTTGTAGAATAATATTAATAAAATATTCTCTATATATATTAAAATTGTTGATGATAACTTAAATTTTAGCTCCATATTCGATATTTGCAGTACACAAAAATAATAATAAATAGCGAAGAACAAGAACAAGAACTACAGCCGCAAATGAATTACTGATGTGCGTGGAAACAGGGTAATTCACGAATTACTTAGCGAATTACTTACTGGCCGTCTCCACAGGAAAAAATTTATTGCTGCCCAGCTGTCATTTTGGTCGCTAGATATAAGTTATATCAGTGGCAATATTTGTGTGGGCTTTTTTATATCTTGATATAAGCATTTGTATGATAGCTTCGAAAACGTATTTTTGCCGGATTTAAACGCTTAAAAATTAGGAAAAAATGGCTATTTTACAGTCAAATGCATAATTACAAATATTTTAACAGGAAACAGCTCAATTTTTACTTTTATATTAAAATAATAATGATGTTGCAGCCACGAAGTTTTCGTGCAAATGAAAATGTAGCTGTCAAACTACCAAATTGCCGGCAATAGATGGCAAGATATAAGCTCTGATATATATTGCTCTCGAAGAGCAATGAACGGTTTCCATTGGCAAATTATATTCTGACATATGTATCAAGATATAAACTTTATCCTGTGGAGACGGGCAGTTATACTAGGTTCACATATAACTAGATTATCCTCATTTTCGAGCTTAACACCCTAATCTGTAATTATACCAAGAGATTAGCCATATAAAATTCGTACCTTGTTAATCTGTAATTATAAAATAATCTCAGATTAAACCGATAACTTTTCGGTGTCCATCCTAGTTTTATCGATTGTTTTTGCAAAAAAGAGGAGAAATGCCAAATGTAAAAGTAAACAAATATGTACGCTAGCAAGGAAAAGAGGTTTGTAAAGGTATTTTTAATAAAATGTTAAGTTAAAATATATTCATATTGCTTATTATAGCATAAAAACGTGATCACGGTGGCACAGAGAAGAAACATAACTTTTCCTTGAGATGTGAGAATAACAAGCACAACAAATTTGACGGCTGATAATCTGGGATTTGCCTGTGTAAACGGGGTGATTAAAAAACGAGCTTTGACTGTGATAATATTGATATGTGAACATATTTTTAGAGAGCGAATTACGAAGCGTGGAAACATCGTATAAGGGACTCACACGAATTTCGATAGTTTTTGTAAATTGGTAGTTGATACTCGGTAAAATTTGAAAATTTTAACCATTATTATTTGTGATCTGGGGCTGGAATCTGTAACTGTCGGGTTTCAAGTGTACACTGAAAATTTTGTACACTCTTTGTTTAGTGATTCAGGAAGGGAGATGAGTTTTAACTGTCAAAAAAGTGTATACTTCCTTATTTGGCGATTAAGCAATTGTGAGAGTTCGGCGAGTTTTGCACTCGATCTACACTACATTTTCTCACGGTTACAGAATCCATCCCCTGGTAAATTATACTTTTCAACAGCCGTTGTTGTAATAGCATACAAGTTCCCAAAGAATTTTCGGGGAGTGTTGCTGAAGTGTCAGACCTTGGGCAGATATAAATCTGGGTCGTTCCGGTTACGTAGACCCGACTGTCGTGGGAACGTTTCAAAAGCTGTCTCCTTACGTGTTGGATGGAAAATTGCCAAAAATTATTTTTTTCACTGCCGAGTCCAAAGCCCGATTATATTTAAATAAAGTTTAATTGAATTTTATGTTATTCTCGTATCTAATGGACGTTTTGCCGAAATGCGTTTTCGAATTGGCTGCCGAGATAGGTTGATCTTCCACTCAGCAGTCGATATGTAATACTTCTATATTGGTAGAAAGCTAACTTCTCAATATGTAATCATTCCTAAATCAAAGCGAGATAGTCTGGTACCGTTTTTGTGTTTGTAAGAAGAAATTGAAAATATTTGAGATTTTCGAAACCAAATAATTTGAAAAAAAAAAAATCAAATCAGCTGCTCTACTGATACTACCTGTTCAATGTGTATAAATATGTTGACAAAATTTGTAGTCAAAATATAACATATAACACAACATAACATATAGCAATAATAAGCCATAAAAAAATTTAGCGCCCCACCGAATTAAATCGGACACGAGAGCGGTAAAACTAGTAACTACTTGCAAGGCTAGCGTTTTCGTACTTTTTTGGATAGTTCTCTCGTTGAGAGCGATTCTTGGAAATTCTGTTACTGCAAGTTACTGGAGATATTTTTACTCGAACAGAGCTAAAATAAAATACTCATATCCAACGTTGACACCTTGCTACGATCGTAGAAATGTGCTACGATTTTTTTTTTTAATTTCAAAATTTTATACCCCACTTCGCTTTATCCTATTTTTGCTAGGCTTTTAATATTCATTATGGGCAGCAACTATTTGTAAATCACTTAGGGTCTTCACACAGAGCTTGGTACTCGGTAACTCGGTGTTCTGTAATTCTCCCCATGTACTTTGTTTGTGTAAAATTATTTTATTATCGGCTTACCGGTTACCGAATTATCGTGTTGGAATCTTAATAGTTTTTCTTGTAATTGGTAAACTGCAATCAGCTGTTCGATATTTATGAGTGAATAAAATTCTTTCAGTTTTCTGTTACAATTTGCTTTTTTTATGGGAAAAAAGCTACAAGTCAGCCCTTGATAAACATAATTACCAGACTAACAACAGAAAGCTGAAAAGGACGTTCACTGTTGATAAAACTACCGAGTACCAACTAGTAGTTTACAAGTACCAACTAGCAGTTGTGAAGACCCTTACTATTACTTCAAAAATGTGGTAAACAGGCCATGGCAAGAAGCGTCTGAGCAAAACTATCTGCAACATTCAAATTTTCGCATAACATACAGAAATATACAATGTCCGAGAGGGATACGAAGTTGCACAAAGAGGTCACAATGACTGCGTGTCGAACTACTCCACGATGGATTCATTGTCGCAGATAAAAAGCGGCTCAACAGAGGTAAAAGGTTAAGTTCGCCTCAAATAAAGGAAGTTTTCACCTATTTATGACGAAAGTGCTGGGGCAAGTGGCAAAAAGTGTTTAGTTCTATAAGTTCGGTATTTGGAAAACGCCAATGTAAGAGAAACAAATATAATACAATACTTAAAAGAGTACAAATGTTATTGAAATTCAAATGTTTTGTTTTTGTTTTAAAACAATAAATATGCATATAGAATTTAAAATAATAGCTAATTTTTATCTTTTGATATGATTTTTCTGGTATTTTGCCTCGCAATCGGTTTCGTGAGGTGCCATCCTACAGAAGACCAACTAAAAATACACACCTGTCTGCACACTTCTGCTTTCCGGTATGTATTACTTAGATCAGGCAACAAATAGTCTCGGTCGCCTTTAATAAGAGCCTTTGGTGCAGAGTGAACGAAGGAAAAAATACGTACTGGCTTAGGGTACGATTTTTGCATTACTGTAGACTTTATATTTGTATTTTTTTCAGTGTAGATTGATTCACGGTATGCGAATCGCCACCCACATAAAACTGTTAACAATTTTTGATGAAGTTACACCACCAAATTATGCATATTTCGCACACAATAACTACGTAAGTATGTCTGTATGTACGTATGTGTCCATCCCTATAAAGCTGCCCTGTAGGACCTCGGAATAGACTTAGAGGTACGAGTTTTGTTCTAAAATTGGTTACAATGTCATGCAGTAGCGGATAATGGGTATAATTACGCATTTGCTGATATGTAGGCACTTAGTCAACGAATTTTCATGTACGGCGTTGGCATGTAGAGAGAGTATCCGCTTAAAAAATCTGAGAACCCCGGTTCGAATCGCAGCTGGCGCAAGTTTTATTTTTGTTTTTTTTTTCCCAAAATTGGTTACAATGTAATGCAGAAGCGGTTAATTATATATATACAATTATATATATGTATATTAAATAGAATTTTACATGTTCTTGGACCAAACTTTGGACTAGTTACAATCACTTGCAGTCTAGTTTGTGGTGTGCTCTAAGTCTATTCAGAGGTTCTACAGGGATTACATTCGGACCACTTTTAGTACAATTCACCTGTTTTACATTACACTGCTTTAAATATTTAGACTATTTTTGGTATAATTACAAAACTACTATACCTATGACTATATTTTTCGAGCAATTGGACCATTCTTTCCTTCAGGGTGACATTTCGATAGGATGCATGTATTATTATGTATGTATTTGTTTCACTGGCGGCCGCTGTGGTGTAGTGGTTAGCAGTGCGCACTACCGTTATGCTGGGTCTGGGTTCGAGCCCAAATTTCGACCAACACCAAAAAATAAAACAGACATTTTTTTTCTAATAGCGTTCGCTCCTCGGCAATAAACTGTAGATCCATTCCCTTTGTGTGACAATATCAAGGCGCACGCCACAAATCAGAGGAGAAGCTCGGCCAAACATGAACATATTGTGTATGCGCAACTTTATTATTATTATTATTACTATGCATTTCACTTGCATATAATTATATGCTTATGCACGTCCATATACATATTAGGCTGGGTCGCGAAAAAAAGTTAGAAATTACCCCAATTGGTGTGAAAATATTCTTAGGGCCAGTTTTTCAATGCCAGTTTAAATCTAAGATCGCGTAAACGCGTCCATATTTCTCAACCGGCTGACATTTGTTTAAGTAATGGTTTAAACCAGCTGGCTTGAGCGTTTTAAAAAGTCTTTATCCGTCACAAAAATGTTTGCCCTTATCGGATCTTAAGAACAGCAAAAATTTAACTTTGTTCATAACTGTATTTGCTAGCTGATGAAAATACGCTGTAGCGTATGTGGTGGATATTTTTAACTTTTTCTGGCGAGGCGACATCTATCTCTAGAGTTTTTCTAATTGTATGTCTGTGATATGATACCTACAAGGAGGTTGATATCTAGACTAGGTTGATGTCTAGAATTTGCCATAAATAGCTTTGCTACATTAATAGTAGGTGCATTCTTTTGCAACCGAGCTACAAAAGAACACACGCAAAGCAACAACACAAACTCGGCTATTTATCCGAGCTCAGCCAGGTCGGTTAAAAAATACCCGACCTGAAGGCTAGTGTTGGTAAGTGAAAAAACTGCTCTATTGTGAATTGTTAATGGGAAAGTGGAGAGGGAAATTTTTGCTTCCTTTTATACGTGACTTATATTTTAAAAGATTATATATACATATTTACATTTCCATCCAACTGAAATCAACTTAAGTTGCCATAAAATTCAAAATTTTAATATGTTTCGAAGTTGTTCATAATAAGTAGAATACAAATTTTAAATTGAGTCTTGAATAAAAAAAAAATGTCTGACTAAAAGTCTAATTTTGCGCTGTTTAGGATGTGGCATGGACGCAAATTGCTATGACCGAAAAATCCTCTCGAAGTAAGCTTCACAACGAGAAGGGGCGGGGGCTGTGTACTACACAACCTTTTTTCTTTCTTATGGTGCCCGACCCTATCTAATGCACAGGCGTAAAATTATGCTTGCAACATTAATGAAGAACTTTCACTGAAACTTGAGGTCAAATCTACGCGCGGGTTTAAGTTTTGACTTAACGCTTTATTTTTCCTGTTTTTTTTTTTTTTTAACAACAAGACTGATTATCCTTTTTTCGTTAATTAACAGCAAACACAGACTTCCCCCGATAATATATACACAAACATTTGTATGTAAACAAAGTTTAATGAAGCATATTTCACACTGGATTTTTCCTTCCTTTGCTTTGCTTATATGCATGTGCGTGTGTGTATACGGTTTGTGGTAGTGAAAAAAGGTAGGATTTAATTTGTGATAGCAATAAATGTAGATATTACGATACAGTGGCAATGAATGAATCTTTGCATGATTATGTACATACATACATATGTATGTACGTACATGCGTACAAAAATACAAAACCATGTAGCACCTCCCATAAAATATAGGTACAATTGAAATATAGTCTGCATATGAGAATTCGCTCGTACCCTATATCTTTTTAAAGTAAAAAAAAAAAAAACTTGAGTGCGGCTGGTTTTCGCGTCGGTTCGGGGTTTGCTTATATAATAACTCTTTGGCTCTAGGTTAGGTTAGGTTATGCTGACTTGGTTGCCCCAAAAACGATGCGTTCTGGGAACGAAATTTTCCAATCCCAGTCGAACATTGTCCTGTCCATAAATCCACCAGAATTGAGAATTTTGGCCTCGATCAGAAAGACTCGGCAGTAGCACATGCCCTGATACTTAAAGGTCTGAGAGGAAATAATCAGATGACACCGAGAGGGAGATGAGACATTCATGTGAACGAGCCGAGGGTCTTGATTGCAGCTTAGCTATCAGAGTAGCTACGAGTATTTAAATTCGTTAAAACCGTCGCGCAAATCAAAAGCAACCACGCGTGGAAAAAAATACAGTCATCTTCAGAGTTTGTTGGCGAGTTGCCACATGTAGTCAAACTACGATCCAACCGTGTAAAAGTTCAGCGGTGCCTCCCTCCAACTCCACTTCCTAGAGAGGATGTGAGTGTAGAAAGAACTATACTTTTTGGGAGCGTATTTCTGACGCTTTTTAAAACACTCGCGGAAGAGTAGTGAGGCAGAATAAAACCGAAAAATCGCAAAAATAAGGCTTATATGTACGTAGCTTTCTTAGAACTGCAAACCCTTGATATACATGTGTATGTACATATGATTGTTAGTTCGGGAAACAAGTTAAAACCTATCTTGGCTGCCAGTTCGAAAACACCGATTTATTGTTCGATGATTTTTCTGGAAATTTCATTACAAAATAATCGGAATTGATGATGATTGTGTACTTTCCGCTGAGATGCTCCATTTTAGGAAATCTCTCAAAAACTAGAACCAGTTGGATACATATTTTTGCAGAAATTCAATAAATTTGTTGTAACTTTTAATATATTGTACCCCTCACAGTAGGTGAGAATATATGTACTCATATTATGTATTTGAAGCACTTATTTGCTTTTAAAATTTTTCTTCACTTCCGACCTATTGTAGAGTGCAAGCAAAACTTTCAATTTTCACCCTTATTTTCACTGCTAAATTGGTTAACACCCACAAATGTGTTTTATTTGAATGGCCTTGTGTGTGTAATGTTATCACAGCATCGCTCTTATTATACATCACAGTAATTGTTTTACTACTTCCACGAATACAAGTTTGCTAATATTTTGTATAGATTTAGATAAAAGCACTTTATCATATTTTTTAAATGATCTTACGCTAGTGTTGTTTTTAATTAAGGCATTCAAAAATGATGATAACAATCAATAATCATAAATACCAATACACAATAAATATGACAAACAAATAATCAATGAAAGGCATTTTTTTTTTTGGAAGTTGTGCCAAAAATCCTCATGTTTGTGAAATATAATAGTGGTTTGGAAAATAAAATGAACCCTCAGACGAATTTCTTTCTAAACACAGAAAGTTATTTGCGATCTTTTGATAGAATTTCTATTGAAAATAATAAAATTGCGGACTGTCCAACAACTTTGTGCCATCCGAAAAGTGAAAAATATCGCGCAGAATCGCTTAAAAATGACACCGTCGTGAGTTCAAAATCAGAAATAAGTGGTTCATTATTATATTTTGGATATAATTCTGATGATTACGAACGTGGCTTAGGTGAGTGAAAAAAGTTGAAGGAAATTAAAAGTTTTCAATTAAAGTATTTTCATTGTGGAAATCAAAAACGTTAATAGCAATTCAAGCGTCGGAAAGTTAAGTTTACATATCGTCGGTGATACAGCAAAACGTTCTATGTCACTTATTACCATGGGTGCTTAATTGATTTTTTATATGTATCTGATCGCTTCTGGCAATAGTAAATCTTCATCAGCCAAAGGTAGACAGTTTTGCCATTCGTTCATTAGAGTGTAACCATTTGCAGATGCATTCCGGTGCAAGTAAGAGACCATCTAAGTGTCAAGGGTACTAATAGACATAGACCGTTTTGCAGTATCACCGACGATATGTTGTAAATGGATATCAGCCGCGCTAAGGGTCGTTTAATGATTACTTAAGGTGTTGTACAGCATGAATTCCTCCCTCTCAGACCCAGTTAATGATTCATTAACGACATTTAATGAACATTAAACTTAAGTGAACAGAACCCTTTACTTACACCCCTATTGCGACTAACAGTCGTTTATCTACTGCTAGTCGACACTCGCAATAGGGATGTTAATTTTTTAGTGAACGATGTTGACATTTTTGTTTCTTATTGTGGCAGAAAATTAATTTTAAAATTTCAAAAATTCTAAAATTATTATGAAAATGCCAACAGTTGGTTTGAGATGGAATAACACCTTGGAAAATGGTTCCGTGCGTAGAAAAATTCCAACAAGCCTCGGATGAGACCTCCTTTTTTGATGACGACCACGGCAAACGTATAAAGGACTATGATTTGAGAGTATTACCTGAAATATCCGGACCCTTAATGGGGAAGGTGCCTCTGCCCGGCTGGTTGATGTCCTCGGGAAGACAAAGGCTGACATCACTGCCATCCAAGAAATGCGATGGACGGGGCAAGGAAAAGTAACTGTGAAGCCTTGCGACGTCTACTACAGTTGCCACGTAAAGGAGCGCAAATTCGGTGTTGGATTCATGGTAGGAGAGAGACTCCGTTGCCGAGTACTGGCGTTCTCCCCGGTGGACGAACGTGTAGCCACAATCCGCACCAAAGCTAGATTCTTCAACATCTCGCTCATCTGCGCCCATGCCCGTACGGAAGAGAAGGATGAGGCGTCAAAGGATCTCTCCTATGAGCGCTTGGAACGTACATATGAGCGCTGCCCCCGACACGATGTCAAAATCGTGCTTGGCGATTTTAATGCCAAGGTGGGCAAGGAAGGGATCTTTGGCGCCACTGTCAGAAAATTCAACCTCCATGACGAAACGTCCGATAACGGGATGAGGCTGATCGACTTCGCCGGGGCCCGAAACATGGTAATATGTAGTACTAGGTTCCAGCATAAGAACATCCACCAAGCTACATGGCTGTCTCCAGATCGAAAAACGAGAAACCAAATCGATCATGTTGTGATAGACGGAAGGCATGCTTCAAGCGTTTTGGACGTACGTACACTCCTCTCGTTCTCGAATGCTCTTGATGATAGGCGATACTTCCTTTAGTTACGATTCAGCTTTAGGGCCATTTATTTCCTCAGCCGACTATTGATGTTGATATCGTCGGCATGTGCATCAAATTCTTCTCAAGCATCAAATTAAAGAAATCGGGTTGGCTTATATTTATCTAATTGCATACATACAGTATGGGTTATATCAATAGTACCGTCATTTCATACCGTTCGGGTGAAACCGCACTTTATACTCCTGGCGCAGGTATCAAATATCGTCGTTTTAAATTTCTCTAAACTACCTTTGCATGATATGAAGGAGTGTCTACCCCGATTTCAAACGTTTTCGATAATATGCTGCGTCTGATTTAATTGGACAAAGTTTGGTAGAATCGATAAAGTGGTTAGCGAGATATACCTTTGTAGTCATAAAGCGGGCGGTGCCACGCCCAATTTTTAAAAGTCTATAGCAGTCTTATTTATTGTAATTTTAATGTAAATGTAAATTAGCGTCCTCAGTTATTTAAATATCGGAGTTTTCGTGTGTCTGAAATTTACCGTTATACAGGAAGTGGGTGTAATTTTAGTCCGATTTAAATAATTTTCAAGTAATTGCTTTTCTGTACCAAGGGTGGACCGGGTTTGGTAGAAATTGATAAATCGGTTACCGCGATACACATTTGTGGTCATAAGTGGGCGGCGCTACGCCTATTATCCAAAAATTCATAATAATCTAAATTTCTGGTGAGTGGTTATTGCAATCATCGATTTTTAGTGAATTAGCTTCAGTAGTCACTGATTTATCGCAGTTTTCGTGTTTCTATAAATTACCAGTATATGGGAGGTGGGGGTTAGGCCGATTTTAAAGATTTTCAACAGCTTTCTTAGCTAGGTCCTAGACAAGGCTCGTACCGAGTTTGTTAAGGAAGCAGCTATTGAGATTCAGTATTTCATCATAAGTGGGAGAGATCACGCCCATCTTCCAAAAATTTCATAATAATATTATTTTGTATCAATATTACACTTCGCATACTAATTTTCTAACAACGTAGATCCAATATTTACTGTAATATCGTAGTACTTGAATTTTTCGAAAATACCGTTATATTGGAAGTGGGCATAGTTACAGTCCGATTTCGCTCATTTTCAGTACCAACCTACCCTGGATAAAGGTTAACCTACTTACCAAATTTGGTTGGGATATCTCAATTTTCGCTCGAATTATCGCATACACGGACGGACGGACGGGCCGACAGACAATTTTTTAAAATTGGATGAAAATTTTTAGATTTCTTTTTCAGTTTTCTGCAAAGTTTTAAACTTTGAGGTTAGTCATAGAAAGAACTGTATTTTAATTAGAAATTCTTAAAAACTAATAAATAAACATCAGTGGCAAACAATAACACTTTGAAATGGGGGTGCTAATGATATGACCTATACTGTAAGTATGCACAAGCAATTACACAGATATGTGTATAGTTAAGAGAGCTTTATTCTCTTCATCTAAAGAATCAAAGAATCTGGTGTAAAAAAAACCAAAAGTTCGGGTATCCAAAATATTTTCACATAGCTTGTAGATGAACTATTTTTGGGCATAATTACACGCTCATATATACGTTTAGCATGACCAAGCACTTAACTTAATTGAAAACAAAATATTGACTTACACCACCTCTTCTCATTTTTTCACCCTTAAACAATAATTTTATTTACAGTAAACATTTTCTCAATTGTCGGATTAGTTCATCTGCAATACTCCCCTATTTAATTGGCTGTGACTTGCTTTCAGATCTCGGCACGTGACTCCCAATATACATACATATGTACATACACACGTACATATGTATGTACATATATATATATATATATGCACGAACGTGCGTACATACATATATCTGCACTCGTACTTAACGTGCATTTTATAGACGCGACAGCTCGTAAATGAAAATGAGAGATGATTTGTGAGCTTGGAAAAGTGAAAAATGATTCCATCTCATAATTAAAAAACAAAGTAAAATATAACGAAATTCCGTTGGGATTTGAACTTAGACACTTGAAAATATGTATACAAAGCAACAAACACACATACAGATGTTCTCTTTGAACTGCCACTCATAGGCTTAGGCTAGATTAAGGAAACTGTTTGCAAAAAAAAAAAAAAAAATCTAACAAATTAAGTATTTTTTTTTGTGAATAAAAGAAGAAATTGTTTTCCAACCTACCTGCACACGCGCTTCAGTAAGCTCTATTTTCATTGCGATCTCCTCGCGTGTATAAATATCAGGATAATGTGTCTCTTGAAAAATTTTTTCCAATTCCTTGAGTTGTTTGGACGTAAATGTCGTTCGAACCCGTCGTTGTTTTTGTTTATCTTTGTAGAATGGGATGGGATTATAGCTACTCGTTGACCATTCTGAAAGAATCAAAACTTTTTAGTGTTCTTTTGATACAAAATATGAATAAATAAATAAATGTCGTTAGTTCAGCAGTTTCTGTCGGTTTCTTGTAAATTGTACATCCTGCGTCAAAATTATAAGCGCACCACATATTAAGAACTTATGACAATTAATTTTTTGTAATTTAGTTTTAGTTTCTTTTATAAAAATACAATTTATTCTTTAATAAAAGCCGTGTGAATCCAAGTTTTACACTTTGGCCAAGACTTAAAAAATTTAAATTTAAATTCTTTGGTTTAATTGCAGTTTTTTATAAAAATATAGTCCATTCTTTAACAAAACCCCTATCACGGCTTAGATAGCGCGTTTTTAAACCACTTGTTGAGATAGGTGTTCATCAACCAAATTCTTAGATAGGGCGTTTTTCAATCAAATTCTGAGATGGGGAGTTTATCAACCAAATTCTGAAGTAAGGCGTTCTTGAGCAATTTTATGAGACTTGCATCTAAATTTGACGCGGGGTATATATGAGCAGGGCGGCGGAAGACGTGGATATGGTGGGTAGTACTACCCACCTGAAATTGTTAAAGGTGGTTAGTTACCCACCTGAAAATTTTCTAGAAGAAAAATAAGTCCAATTGAAAATCCTGTTTTAATCACACCTGAAGAGTATTTTCGGAAGATATATTATGAAATTTTTGACAAAGTTAGTTTCACAAGTAGGTTTGATACCGTTTTATAATAATTACAGGTATTGTCTTCCCAGAGAGTTTTCTTTCACATCGAAATTCATGATCCCTTATTTTCATTTTGATGCAGTTCAATGTTGATTTTTTTACTTTTATTTGCCTTTGCTTTGGTTTCGCTCAATTTAATTTTTATAATTTTTCAAAACAACAATTGTACGCTCTTGTAAAGTATTGTGCCTGAGCGGTTCAATACTGCGGCTCTTATTATCTTCTCCAAAATCAGATTAAAGAAATCACGCGAAAGGGAGTCCCCTAGTCTGAAACCTCGTTTGGTATCAAACGGCTCGGAGAGGTCCTTCTCTACTCTGACGGAGTCTGGTGGTATTGCTAACGTAATTTTACACAGCCGTATTAGTTTTGCGGGGATACCAAATTCAGACATCGCGGCTTAAAGACAACTTCTCTTCGTGCTGTCGAAAGCGGCTTTGAAATCGACAAATAGATGGTGTGTGTCGATCCTAGTCTTTTCCAATATTTGGCGTATTGCGAATACCTGCTCTATGGTGGATTTGCCAGGCCTAAAGCCACACTGATAAGGTCCAATCAGTTCGTTGACGGTGGACTTCAGTCTTTCGCACAATACACTCGATAAGACCTTATAACCTATGCTTAGAAGGCTGATTCCGCGGTAGTTGGCGCATATGGCGGGGTCGCCTTTCTTGTGGATTGGGCAGAGCACACTTAAATTCCAGTCGTCCGGCATGCGTTCATTTGACCATATTCTACATATGAGCTGATGCATGCACCTCATCAGCTCCTCGCCGTCAGCTCCAGCAGCTTTGTTGTTTTTCAGCCGCGTAATCGCTATTCGTACCTCGTCATAGTCAGGGGTGGGACATCTACTCGATCATCATCGACTGGGGACTCGGTTCGTCTTCGTCAATACTTTCAGCGCTGCTACCATTAGTAGGCTGTACAAGTTTTCCCTCCACATTTTAAGTACATTCTGGAATCGGTCACTAGGTCGCCATTGTTGTTCTTACAGGAGTTCGCCCCGGTCTTGAAACCTTCCGTAATTCGCCTGACCCTCTGGTGGAATTTTCGGGCGTTCTTCCTGTCGGCCAGCATCTCAAGCTCTTCGCACGCACGTATTTCGGCCTCTCTCTTCTTATTGCGGCAAATACGTCTCGCTTCCTTCTGTAGTTCCCTATAACGGTCCCAAATGGCTCGCGATGCGCCTGATCACAGCGTTGACCTATAGGCGGCGTCTTTTTTCTTTGCGGATTCTTGACATTCCTCATCGTACCAGTTGTTCTTCGGGCTCGCTGAAATCCAATTACTTCTTCGGCGGCGGTACTTAATGATCGGGAAATGTAGTTCCACTGCTCGCGTATGTCGGATTGTTGAAGAGTGCTCTCAAAGAGCAGGTATGTGAGTCGAGTGGCGAATAAATTGGTCGTCTGTTGTGATTGCAGCTTTTCGACGTTAAACTTTCCTTGCATTGTTGGGCGCACTTTTTTTGCTGCACAGAGGCGGGTGCGTGTCTTGGCTACAACAAGATAGTGGCCCGAGTTGATGTTTGGCCCTC